CAACCAAAAAGCTGACAGAGACCCTCCCCTGATCAGCGACCACCGGGCGCCCGAGCAAAATCCACCCCCAATAGAAGAAGACGAATAAAATTGATCCCGCACAATGGCAAGACAGTAGCCTACCAAACCGGCTCCCATGCCATCGAAACCATGCTCCCGATCAGAGCGCCTGCAACACCACCATGGAGACAACCCCTCAATCTAATCTCCGGAACCTCCTATATGACGCTCTGTTTCAAAATGTGGCAATGGCGCACAAAGTGCTCACTATACGGGTCGGCCCAATTGTCGCTCGTTGGTTTCCTACTGTTATCACTTGGTTAGGAAGAGGGTTTTTCCAGGTTCCTTCGATTTTACAGTTTTCATTTGTTACCCATAAAAACTACAATATTTTAATTTTAAAAATTGAATATTTTATAAAACCCACGAATATCTTTAATAATCATGTAGTTTTTACCAAAAAAGGGTCAATTTTCAAATTTTCTGAATGTTTTTGAAAAAGTGTGATCATTTCTAAAATGAACAGTGGAAGTAAACTGAAAGATAATAATAAACCAAACAAAAAGAGAAGAGCAGGAAAACCAACAAAAAACCAAAATAGGAATGATAGTGTCTGTGATGAGGAAAATCGAGTAGCATCAACCAATATATGGTCCATTGGAGCAACGACTTGTGCGTTCGTTTGACGTCGAATAAGATCCACCCTAATCCCCAACACCGCCCTTCCAGGGGCCACACACACAGCGATTCACCTGACAGCTCGCCCTCCTACAGGAGCCACCTGTGTCGAAGGGGTCCATGCAATCCCCATAATGCTCGATTCACCAAAAGAGCTCAAATCTAGGGAGCTTAAAGGATTTAAGGACAAATGTTGTTCATCCTGATCTCCACCGGGGCAGGGGCACCGAGTTCTGCTTCAGGGATCATTTTTCTGCTTCAAGCTGGAAAGGGTGCCGACGTAGACCACCGGAAGCGAGTCCAGCGGAGCTGCTCCCGTTATTTCAAAGTGGCTCTTGAAGTCAATGCCGATGATCAGACGCTCTTTGTTTGGCTTCCAGAGAGTTAGGGTTCTTCATAGGCTGAGCACCCTTTGTTCTGATCTTTTCCCCACACAGTGTGGTGCTCTCCCCTTCCTATGCTTCAGGTAACTGCTTGAACTCTTTTCTTCCTATCCATGCGTATTCGCGATTAGACGCTCTGGACTCGTCAAACCGTTGTCCCTTATGACATCAATGTACTCATGATCACCTGGTTGGCACAACGCACAACACAATCGGGCAGCTATATTTAGCAAGTAAAACGAAGAGATCTTTTTATAAAGCTAATTAAGCCTCCATATGGTGGATATATTACCTCCAGGTATCTTGTTGAACCCCTGCCATTTGTACATGCAGACCGCCGCGTCGTACCCCGAGTATCTCAGGAGCTTCACAAGTAGATGATAGATGCAGCTGCCAGTACAATGACCTCTTACGAAATCCAGGAGCTCAGTCTCGAGGATCGGAAATAAGAGAGTGAACAACTAAGAGCAGCTCGTTTTATTTCTCATCTCCAGCTATCTTGCTTGTACATCTAAAATGTAACGTGCAGAATATCAGCTCCGGCATACACACGAAGATAACCTAACCCATCATTATTTTCAGTAAATTGATGCGCTAAAAAGATAACCGTTTCATGAGCTTCCTGGATATCTATACCGATTACCAGCACTAGATTTGTTTCTTAGTTTGTCTTTTTACTTATGAAGTACTGCTACTCATTCTTCATGAATGAAATGCATCTCTAAGCTGTTTTTTCGATTCGTTTAAAAAACAGATATCCTAGTCTCTGAACAGGACTTGAGAATTGCACAGTTGATTACAAATCAGGTAGCTCAAGGTTGCAGCAGAGAACAGATGATGCCCACACTATTGTTTTCTTTTACCTAGGCATATGGCTAAAATCCTAAAAAATGGTCTCCAGAATCATGGTAGATGGAACTAAATTGTACTGTTGTGAAATCAAAACTTCAGAGACAACCGGTTAAAATTACAACTGCAAGCCAGCAAGCTTATCATAGATTTTTGTTTTGCAATGCGGTCAAGCAGTCAAATCAGATCAAACACACCACGCATATCAAAATTGATGGTGAAGTTATCATGCACCTGTGGTTGTTACAGAGTAAATTTAGTGTAGAACAGGGAAGCAACATCATAAGTAGAAATGAAATCTTACTTGCAGGTAACTTGTATTAAAAATGTAGTAGTAACGACACATCAATTTGAAATTAACCGATATATAAGTGATTCCTGAAATGTTTCTCCAACCTGTACTGAAAAGAGGTTGGGATTAGTAAACACTAATAATTGGGCAGTTTCATACCGCAGCAGCCAGCCACCTAGCCAACTTGTCTAGATAATGAAAACAATTTGGGAGAAAGCCCGAAGCCGTGGTCGCGAACAACAAAAACTTAAATTCACATGAGCAGAGTAGATGGGGGCAGCAACAGCAACATACCGATATCTTGTCGGTGAGGTCAGGGAGTCCACCGAGCTTGCCGTCGCTGCTGCCGCGCGAGTTTCCGCCTCCTCCACTGCCGCTCTCCAAAAACTTGCTGATGAACATGGCCAGGTCCATCTCGCTCTCATGGTGGCTCCCGAGCCCATCTCCGCGGCCAAAGCTTGCCCACCGGTGACCCCCACAGCGCCCGGCCGTGACAGGGAACCGAACTCCTTACAGATCAAGGATTAGCAGCAGAGCAACAGCAGCAACGCAGAGGATACTGGAGCACGCGAGAGAGAGCAGCGCCGGCGTAAATAAATAAAGAGAGGATTCCCCACGTATTCGTGAATTTTCACTGCAGGAGCGATAGGAAGCAAATGTTTGACAAGCTCAGAACCCCATGTCCTCCCATTGACCAGAGGGGTCCAGCTCGTACAAAAAAAGCTCGAGCGCTCCCAGGCCTCCAATTCCTGGGAGCTTGGAAATTGTAGTGATTAGAGCATGTGACAATGAAAATATAATTCATACCTTTATCCACAACCCACAGTATATTGGTAGTGAAAATTCAAAGGGGTCTCGCCCCAGCCCCAACTTGTTAAAACAGCCAAGGCACAGCCGACCAGTATAAGTTCAAACAGCTCTCGGCTACAACCAGACAGTAGCTGCAGGAGAATACTTATTACACAAGGCACAGCCGACCAATATCAGTTCAAACAGCTCTCGGCTACAACCAGACAGTAGCTGCAGCAGAATACTTATTACAGATAATGCGCATAACAGCGTTTTTTCAACCAGCTAAGAAAACAAGATCAGCGTCAAGACATTCGGGGAGCCATGTAGCTTGGGTGCCGACGCAAAGCACCTTCCAGGAACAAATCAGGGATCCTACCAAACACAAGCTGCCTGCACTGCGTGCTTCGCCATCTCCTGGTTCCAAAAGCATGCAACATCAGCAAAAGACTGAGGTATAGAAATACCAATAATATCAACAATTATCCCCCATATATTCCGAGCTACAATACATTCAAAGAATAGGTGCTGAATTGATTCTAGTTCCCCGCAAAAGACACATGTCATATCATCTACTTATCTACGTTTAGCTAAATTATCAAGCATCATGCTTTTGTTGTAACAATCAGCCACAAAAATACATGTATGTTAGTGGGACATTGATTTTCCAGATAGTCTTTCAATGCAGATGGGATCCCACCAAAATTAACTAGTTTATAAAAAGAACTCACAGAGTAGGAGCCAGATGATTCCAATACCCACACAGGAGTATCATTTTGATGGGTTAATATGACAGGTTTTAATACATTTAACAGGTCAAACCATTTACTCATAATAGAGGTATTAACACATCTCAAGTCAATTTCAAGTTAACACCATCCCAAACATGCGAGACAGTAGCATCCTGTTGTTGACAGATTGAAAACAGCTCCCAGAACTGGGTTTTAAGACAACACTCCCCGAGCCAAAGGATGCGCAATGTCCATTCCCTATTTCCCACTTATAAAAAAGTTTAGCAGCAGCAAAAGCCCAAGATACGCTTTTCCAAAATCGGGATCCATTCCCAGGTTTAGCCCACAGGATATTGGGTTTAGCAGTATTATATTTGAAACTAATAGGTTCCTTCCAATCACCAGGTCTGTCATCAAAAAACCTTTTACTCCACAAGGCAACCAGATATATTCCTAATAATCTATCAATGATAGGTTGCAAATCTTGCCTCCTCAACTTCTTAAGATGAAGAGGGACCCCTAAGTACTTAAATGGGAGGAACCAATTTGGCAGACTTGTGCAAAACAGTTTGCCAACTCACCACCAACATTAATAGTATGAAGATCACTCTTACGGAAATTGATTTTAAGCCCAGAAAGGTTCTCAAAACATGACAAGAACCATTTCAAGTTCCTAGCATGATCAACAGAAGTATCTACAAACAATAAAGTGAAGTAAGGGGGAGAGAGGATCCCCCTGCCTAGTTTCCACATTTCGGGGCTGTTCGGCATCCCTCCACTCCACAACTCCAGGAACGGAGTTGGCGGAGCTGCAGTTGAAAATGGTGGAGTTGCTATTTCCCCGCTCCGCAGATTTCGGGAGCGGACGATTACCGAACAGGGCCTTAGTAAGAGCAAAAGTTTCCAAAGCTAACTGCAGAAGGACTGAAGGCTGAGCGGAACAATAACAGAACACAGCACATATTTTTTAAGCAGATTTGGACAAACTATATCCCAAGGTTTCTTAATACTCTTATCCCACTCATGCAACCTGCCTACTGTCTGAAAGGGTAAGACCCTTCCGGATGTCTGGAAGACCACAGAAATCCACTCAGATAGAGAACATCACCTTTCAAATGTCTAAATTGCATCAAGAGTGGATGAATTTAGACAGCACAGCACTTTTTTGAGATGCAACAATGATTATCTAGTTCTTATTGAAACTAAAAGAAGTAGACAGAATAAAAGGGATATGATGAAAATGTCTTTGCTTTACCGTACGAGTTCTCACTCACCATTCTAGTCCTCCTTCACAGCCACGAAGAGGCAAAAGAGATGTGACACGATCATTGGGACTCCCGGTACTGCAAACACTACAAGTGTACCAAACTCTGCGGGGTTTCCCATCTGCAGCTCAACAGAACGGAAGAATGCACCGGCTGCGCATATTCCGGCGCCCATATTGACAAGAACAGATAGGAAAAAGAGTCCACGCACAATCCTCCTTTCCACATCACCCATTCGAGCAATACCAACTATGGGTCTTTTCTTCTCAGCCTCCTCCGTGGCGCTCATAAACGCTCGAACAGCATCACAATGGGTCTTCTCGGCAGCAATGACATGGGGATCCAAAGCACCTTCTGCAGGAGGGGGGAACATCTCAAGAGCCAGTGCGTGGGCTTCTGCGGCTTCTTTGACGGCAGTACGCGGCGCACTCAGATCCTCAAGAGCGGACTTGTAGGCTTTGTCCTCGTCGCTGGCTGCCCTGTCCTCAGCTTTGGCAGCAGCATCCACACGTTGCTTTGCCAAAAACGCAAGGTACACTGCTGATAGACAGAACGCAATAAGAAACCTATTCCAGATAGCAATATCATATTTCAGCATATCCGCAACCGTTGTTGATGTGGATGGTGAGCAAACACAATCAATGGGACAAGCAGTGGAACAATCAGCTGTGCCAGGAACAGGGATCATCAATCTAGGATGTACAGGGGCAATAGTAGTCACTGCGAATACGCCTAAGAAGAAACCCGAAGATGCCAACAGCATCCAACAGTAATTTGTTATAACGCTGCCAAACTGTGATATCCTCCTCTGGTGCGCCATCTTTGTACCCGGCGGAGAGAGATGTAGAGGTGAAAGAATCAGAGAGGTACCGACGAGAAGGGTGCTGCAGGCGTCAAGCGGACGAAGAGGGTGAACACAGACAGGACCGGGTAGAGAGAATCATCCATGGCCGGAGAGGGGCGAGCGTGACGGAGAGCCTGCGAGGAGGAGGAGGCGGCGGCGGCGGCGGCGGCGGCTCCTGCGGGCTAGGGCTTTCCGGCTCGCGGGGGGAATGGGATGTGAGCGAGTGGCGGCGGGGCGGTTCGGGATCTGCGAGGCACAAAGGCAACTAAACGGGCCGGCACGGGCGGCAGGGGGCTGCTAATTTTCTCGCGTTCAGCGTCCTAGACGGGCCGGCCCAGCCGCGGAGAGCCACGGCCTATTGTTTTTTCTGTTTTCTGTTATCATTTTCTGCTTTATTTTTGTATGAAAAATGTTGAACAAGTTTTTGAAAATATTGAAAAGTTTTTGAAAAATGTTAAATAAGCGTTCGGACAATGTTGAACGTGTATGCAAAAAAAGTTAATCACTTATTACAAAAATGTTTTGGGCATATACGAAAAATGAAGAATGAAAACAAAAACAAACATAAGAAACACAAAAAATGGAGAAAAGGGAGAAAAACGGAGAAAAAGCAAAAAAAAATTGAAAAAAAAAAGAATAACTAGTGAAAAACCCGACTTGTTTTGAGTTAAGAAACACCTCCCTTCTCATTTGTCACAAGCACGTGCCTAGCACATTGACTAGTTGCACCTCCTGTGAATCAGGGAGAGTATAGTTCGAATCCGGGCGCGCCCCATTTCTCCTGCCAAATACTAACAAGGTACTGAATAAGAATCAGAACACTACAATGATAAATGGTATAGCCATATTAAGTATACAGAGCTACTCATATCAACTTGTGCATACATACACAAAACCTCTCTTCTATGACAAAGCAAATTATCATGCACCATCCACTTACCAGCACCACATACACACACACACACACACACACACACACACACACACACACACACACACATATATATGTCCATTTGTGCAGCTTCATAAACATTAATGCCTGCTACAATAGTGACAAGTACCTACAAATGCAGTAATGCATCTTGATGCTCGATGCAAAGCAATCCAATGCCAGGAATATCAACATAGAAGCAATCCAATACTAGGAATATCAATGACTTGGATTTCTTCCCTCTTACCTATCACTTTACAGGAGAACACAAGTAGAGGCACGACGATTATTTCCCGATTAATAATCAGACAATAGCAATAAGGCAGTCAATAATCTACAGGAAGCTATGCAAATGAATATCTGACTCAAAATCACACCACCTTAAATGTTATAAACAGTAGTAGCCACAAGTGCCCAAGCACATGACCTAAACTCAAATAGGTTTCAGAAAGCACCTTAGATCCAGTAATAATATTGAAAACACGCCACTTTTAATTTTTCCTATATTCATTACAAATCAAGGAGAACATACACTCAGGTTCAAGATATTCAAATACACGAAGCAGCACACAAACACATGATTCAGTTCCTTGCTGTTACAATGCAATCTGTTGAACCTATTTATACTACCGACAATTGATTTGTGTTGAGTGAAAACTACAAACATGATGCCATCAAGTGCTATCCTCCATCAGCTCAGGAGGGTGTTGGGTGATACTACCTCCTTTCTGGTTTAAGGCTTGCGCGTATCTCTAGGTTGACATTGTGGAATCCCCTACCGATTCTCCTCCTATTGAAGAACATGATCTTGGGGGCTTATCTTGCAACTGCTCTTGGGGTCTGTACTCGTCCTCATACCGGTCCCATGGGAGGATTGATGAAAGGTTCTCTCTTTTATCTAATATAAGGAAATAATGCTTAGAGTTGCTATGATTGGTATAGATATTCCCTCTGATGGCTTCTTCTCTACATGGGCCTTAAGAGAATCAGAAAATGCTATAGAAACTATTAATATTAAACATTTTTCTTCTGATCCTCCCTCTCTTGTGAATTGTGATTCATGATAACCATTTTTTTAAAGGAGGATGTACCCCCGGCCTCTGCATCTAGGTGATGCATGCAGCAATTTTATTAATTATTCACAAAGACCTTACAAAGTAGTACATCAGTATGCGTGAAGCCACCATCTTGGCAACACTTATTGCTACTCATATCCCCTTGAAGAAGGGGTGCCAAATGTCCGAGCCTAATAGCAAACAGACATCGCACCAAAGCCTAACATCTAAAGCCAGATGCCCCAGCCTAGGCACATACCCGGACTGTGTCACACACCGGTCCAGCACACTCACAGTAGGCACCATATGCGCACACTGCAAGGCCCGTCACCACCGTCTTCCATCGATCCATCTTCAGAGCAAATTGACGCATCGACCGTGCCAGGCCTCTCTGCCATCGACGCCACCACGACGCCAGACATCGTCACCCTCCTGCGTGAGTCCATCGTCGCACATCAGACACCTAATCTCCAGGGCGCCTCACCATCGAGATCCGTCGCCATCAATCTGTAGGATGAAGCACCGCTCCACCAAAGATGTCGTCCACTGGTCCCTCGAGTCCGTGTATACCTCCAGGAATGACGCCCCCAAGGGGGAAACGACACAAGCACTCCGCCGTCTTCCGATCTACCGATCTAGGGTTTCCCCCGGAGGTAGCAGATAGTGGTCTAGAACTTCTCCAGGGCGATGCTTTCAAGAAGGAAACGACCCCGTACAGCGCCGCCATCGTCGGCCTTGGCATCTAGCCAAGATCAAGTTTTCACCCATATCTGTTCGAAGAACTCCATCCAACTTCTTGTGCACGGATCGCTGCCTTCTCTGTCGGAGACTAGACTAAAAGGATCCAGTCGCCGCCGCCTGACCGGCCGCGGCACCACCACGGTGCCAAAGCAGCCAGCTTTGTCAGTCCTGCCACGCCAGCCCGCCGCCGCTTACCAGATCCGTCGGTCCGCCAAAGCCCATCTGGGCCCGGCGAGATCCGAGATTTCGGCCGCCGCTACAGGGGCGCCTCCCCCGCGGGAAGGCCGCGCTGCCGCTGTCACCGCCGCCATGTCCACTGTCGGGATCCGCGACATCGCGCCATCGGGTCACCGAAGTCCATGCTGTCGCCGCCATGAGAGGACGCCACCGCGCGCGAGGAAAGAAGAACCCGCCGCCGCCGTCACAACCCACAACCCGGGCTTCGCCGGCGTGAACTCAGGCGGCGGCGGGAGGGAGAGATCGGGACGAGGTGCCGAGGGCCGGCGGCGCGGTCTCCCCCATGTCGCCTAGGGTTGGCGACACACACGTAACCATGGGGATGTTGTACCTTTATGCTAGACCTGGTGAGCTCCTGAGGATAGGGATGATGATTCTTCCGCTATTGTGCAATCTTAGGAAAGGGGGGGGGGCTATCAAAGAAGTGTAGTTATTTCCTTGCCCCCATCTTTTAGCAAAACTGTTCAAATAAATAAATACACTACTACTAGGAGCCAAGGCTGCTGTCAGTTCTGCTCTTCCTCCTTGAAGATCTAGCAGGCTGAAGAAATACCCCAATGGATATCAATGATAGGACTATTTTGTAATTGTAGGCGATAGGGAACAAAGGTATGTCTTCCTGTATTGTGGATCTTATTAAAAACCATTCTTTGAATTTCCTGGGGCTACAAGAAACTATGAGGAGAGACTATGAATAGTGTTTTTTTTTAGAAAAAAACTGATCCTGGGAGTGCCTTCTCTTGGGATTGAATCCATTTATTGGTTAATGAGGGGGTATTTTGTGTGGTGTGAGACAAGATACTGTGGAGGTTTTAAATGGGAAAAGAGAACAGTATTCTATCATATTGAATTTAAGGGATAAAAAGAAACTTATTCATTGGGCTCTGATCATTGTCTATGGAGCTGCTCATGAGGAGAACAAACCTTAATTACTTCCTAGCCGAATTTGCTTCCTTATGCAATGATATTGACGTTCCCTATATTGTGGGTGGTGACTTTAATATTTTCAGACATTGCTATGAACAAAACAAACATACTCCTGTATCTCATGTTTCTGATTTGTTTAATTCCATCATTCACACAACCTGAGGGAGATTTTTATGGCTAGGGGTAATTTTACCTGCCCTAATAAGCAATTTTTCCCTATGCTTGATAAGAGTCCTAGTGTCAACTAGTACTTGGGAAGCTGTGTTTCCTATGGCACATGTCAAAAAACTTGCAGAGGCCGGGGATGTCCTCCTTAAAAAAAAAACATGTCAAAAAACTGGTTCGAGAGCTCTCTGACCATAATGCACTCCTCCTTAACAGTGGTGATGTGCAACCAGTTAGATCTGGGAACATATGTTTCAAATTTGATCTGGCCTGGCTCAAACATGAAAAGATCCTAATGGTGTGGATCCTATTGATATTTTGAATATCAAACTGAAGAGTGTTTAAAAATACCCAAAAGTTTGGGGATCTAACTTAAGATGATCATAATAGGGGGGGACGTGGAGCTGCAACTGGAATTGAATGAACTAGAGACCCTTATCTCCTGAAGCCTATCGAAGCAGATTAAGGGGTTCGGGTTGTCTTGGAGCTCGATTTTTTCTTCTTTTTTCTTGAATGAAACTTGGAGCTCGATCTTCCAAAGGGAGTACGACAAGGGTAGGGATGGATCGTGTACCTGTCGGTCGCTCGACAAACCGCAGGCAGGCAGCAACTCCGGCTGTGCTCCTCCGATCCACGGGGCCACGGAGGCCCCTTCTCCTGCTACAATAGTCAACGTATGCGACGCGGCGGGCGGTGCATCTCCTCTCCACCCTGCCCTGCGCGAGTAGGCTGAATCCAGCAGCACGCCGAGTCGCCGACGCTGGAGATGGATTCATGGCCGCAGGGCGCCTCATCGCTCCTGGCACCGGCCTCCCTCGTCTCGTCAGCGGTCGTTGCACGGGAACCCCGGTGCACCGCACAGGAGACGAGACCCGCAGCGGCGGCAAGGACAGCCGGCCTGATGCAGCCGCCTATGCTCC